AGAGAACAATTCATCTTGAGAGGATTGTTGTATAAGTTCTCCACAAGGCACTTAATATGATTTTATCAAATAGTGGAACAATTAGCAAATTAGATGAAACCTTATTTTGAAAAAAATCGTATTACAATATTAACAATGATTGTAATGCTGCGTTCAGTTGTATTGTAAATATTACAAATGTATATAAAAAAAATCTGAAGGACAAAAAAGGTACAATTATTTAAATATACGTGACGGTGTTGACTGAAAAAGGAACGTTAGACATTTGAGGAGAAATGGTAAAAAACCCCCGATGAATCCTTGGTGAATTGATTCCCAAATTACCAAGTTAAGTAAAATGCATGTCCATAATAACAGAATCAAGAAATATAAAACCTTGCTTTTAATATTTAATGTATTAATGATGTCGGAGAAATACTCCTCTCCGTATTTCCATTTCATAGAAAATCATTGGAAACGCCCTTCTCCGTATTTCCATTTCATAGAAAATCATTGGAAACAATACATTTTTGCATATTTCGTAGCTAAGTCCGCGTATCTTTCGCTCTTTCTCTCTCACGCATACGTTGCATCCAACAAAAATATTGAAAATTATTTAAATCAAACCCAAATAATCAAACAAAAAAATGTTAGTGCAAAATTATTGGCATGATTACAATTTTCACCTTTTAAAACATGAAAATTTACCTAGTTATGAAAAGTTCGTTAATTTCGACCTTCTGGAAAATTCTATTCATAACATTCCTTACTTAGAAGAAAAAAAATGATTCAGATTTGCCTATCATCCATGTATTAATTAATTTGATTTTTACGGTTTATCAACCCTTTTGTGAATTACTTAAAGCCGAAACATATTTTGGATTGCAGGAATAATTATTTTCTTTGTTTTCTAGTGACTATTGCATTATTAATATTTTGAGAGTAACAATTATTTTTCCAGATACAAGTCCTACTATTTATTTCTCATTTCGAGCCACTATGTAACAACTGCCGCCAAAGATAAAAGAACAGTGTGGCCTTTAGAATTGATTGACTGATTCGTGTTCTACGGCTTATTTGCAGGTTATTTAAAGCCAGAAAACATTTTTAGATTTTAAAAATTGTGTGTGTGTGTGTGTGTGTGTGTGTGTGTGTGTGTGTGTGATAATAATGATTTATTGATGAAAATCTTACTAATTAATCCATAACCAACGTTGGGGAAAAGAGGTGCATTCGTACCTTTTCCAATGATTTTTACACGTAAGTAAACATAATGAACCCAACTGGAATTGGAACTCAGCAATCCGATTAACAATTCTGTACCATATTTAAAATGGTTAAATTGATTGCACTGTGTAACAAGATTTTGCTATTTTTGTCTTTGGTCAGTAATTGTTATTTCTTAATTGCATCAGCCGCACTTCCAAGCTTTCAGCACCTGATATTCCCAAGCGGTAACCCATCTAGGTACTTACCAGGCTCGACGTTGCTTAACCGGTGTTTCAACGTGATATGGCCTAAAGGAGTGGCCACCAAACAAATGAGAAATTAGCAGCTGTAGGAGAAGAATTTTTCAGTGAACGGTTGGTAGAATTCTTGAAAGAGAAACTGTGAAAGCATGTCGTTCTAGAAAGAACACTCTTTTGAAGACATTTTGTAATTTGCTAAATATTATAGTGTGACGAATTATGAAGTTTGGGAAAGAAAATATTATGATCTGATGAAACAATGACTTTATTATTATTTGTTGATATCGACTTGTGACATGTTTCTAAAAGAAATGGTCCAGCTAATCTGCCAAAGAACAGTATCGATACAGGGAAACAAGGAAGTTTTCGTTTAATATTGTGAGTTTGTTTTGCATCAAAATGACCTGGATGAAAGTTGGTAGTGCTATGAGAAAAGAGTAAAACATTAATATTTTTAGACGTATCTTGAAGGATTTTGCAAGGGAAATAAATCTGGGACGTTGTTAAACCTTCAGACAAAACAAATAGGATTGATGATTAACCACACTGAGCGAAAAGTACAGACATTAGTTCGCTTGAAAATTTTTTGAGATATTTGAAGATGAGGTTGAATCAAAGGAATCCCAAGAATCTCCAAGAATTAGAGTATATGTGTGCCTGGGATAGCGGAAGAAAATAAGTGAAGATGAGTTGAAGAATTTGGTGAAAGATTATAAGAAATTACAATTATTCCTTCCAAACTTTTGGGTCTGGACAAGAGAAAATAGTGCCATCAAATTCGCAATCCTCGTACACACACACACACACACACACACACACACACACACACACACACACACACACACAGAAAGAGAGAGAGATAGGGTGAGAGTGAGAGAGAGAGAGGCTTCAGAAGAGGATGAGGTCATTGATTCAGATTACAGAGGCGCAGTTGAAGAGGGAAACCCATACCACACCCATCAAAAAGAACTCAACAACCTGATTAGAGATCTTGGTCTCAAAGTCCAATGACAAATTTTTTACATTGAGATTCAAGCAGTGGAATTTGTGTTTGAAGATTTCAAAATGATGGCCTTCTTGATGGGCCTCCAAGACAGCTTTACTAGCATTCTGTGTTATCTTTGCCTTTCGGACAGCACGGACATCGCAGCACACTACCACGTGCAGAACCAGCCAGAGCGGACCGAGTTCAGTGTGGTGAAGAACGTCAAATGAGGTTCACTTTTGGGCCCCCGGAAAGTATTGTTTCCGCCACTGCAATTAATAATTGGGCCTTATGAAACAATTTGTCACCGCTTTAGATAAGGAATCTGCAACTTTTAAGTACCTTGACGAAAAGTGCAAGGGATTCCCAAACAAGGACGGATAAAGCAGTTTAGAACAGCTTTGTCGTAGTGGTTTGGGGATTCTTAGGGAAACACAAGGCCGAAAACTATGCGAGAGACCTATTAAAGATCTACAGAAAATGATGTGTAGGATGTCACTCATAGTCCATAATCCTTGGTAAATTCAAGGAGGACATGTTGGGGAGCATATTCAGAAGGGCAAGGCTAGCGTATTCACCAGGATATACTAGATTTTAATGCCGCTACCAAGGATCGCATTAAAACATGATGGGAGACTATATTTCGAGGCTGATCCGCGAAAGTAATTTACAGTATAAGTTTAAATAGCGAAAAACTACTCCCTTCTAATTTTTTGTCGTTTCTCTTGTGTAATTGTTGAATAAATAAATGCCTCTTTTGTATTACATGTCTAATTTTCGCGAACGAGAATTTTCTCATTCGTCAGTTTTACCAATGGGAATAGGTACATTTCAGAAACATTATCTTGGTCACAAGAGCAACGTCTTAAGGAAATATTAGCCATTCTTCCTAGTTTCTAGGCGTAAACAAGTTGAAACTGACAATTGCTCCCCAAGGATAAAAATCGTGTTACACAGTGCATTAATAATATTTTGAGAGTAACAATTATTTGTCAAGATACAAATCCTACTATTTAACCCACTGCGAGGGAGTTGGATTCATAACTTCACAATTAAACGTGCCAATAATTTCGCTCATATTAATTTTTGATTATTTTTGGTTTATTGATTGAATGCTTTCATTCGGAGTAGATTTATCAAGTTATTTCCTTTTATTTTTATTTACCTTCTAAAATTTAATTATATTCGCAAAAATATTTTTATTGAACCAGGAAATCATTTTGACAGTGACTGCATTGGATAGAGTTCAAAATCGTTGAAATTGTTATTCTATCGCTTTTTTCATAGCAAATGTTCAGATGAGCGTTCCATTTGTTAGTTCCACGAGTTCAGAACTTTACAGTTAAGACACACGATGCTACTTCCACGAAGCCGAATCACCCTTATTTCCTTCGTGTCATGCAAGAAAGTTCTACTTAGACAGCTATTCCCAAGAACTACTACTTTATTGCAGAGAAAGCCGTGTGCGTGTTCCTCAGAACATTTCTTGTCTTTTTCAAGTCAAGGTTCAATCGTTACCTATTGTACTTTTAGTCATGCTTTCTACTAATTTCTCCATTCATATCACACACCTCATTTATCATTACCTTTTCTATTGTAACACTACCTTGAATGGCTCTCAGGCCTTGCATTGGATGAATTTTAGTAAAAAAACATAGTGGGGTTTGTTATTATGTGTATAAGAAAAATAAATGAGTAACAAAATTGTTTTTACATAATTCTGTGTCGATATGATTAGACGGAATGGTAAATGTAGTCGTAATACGACTTTTTCGCGTTGAATGTCAGATTTGTCATCTGCTGAGGTTTTGCTGTGAATGCTTTACATTTGGAAGTATAATTAATATCTGACGACCATTGATCAAAAGATTTTTTTCGACTGTGTAAAAACGTTATTGCAATAATGTGACGTCATCGAAAAATATTGTTCAATAGTTCATTCCAAAATGCGATGTCAAGAAAAGAGAATCAGCCATTGCTCGTTGATATTAATTTCTTTTTTCTTTCTTTTGTCGCCAAGGCAAGTGTTGTTCGTATCCTCTATTTATATTTATAACGCCCACGAACAGTGGAAATATCTGCCTTTCTTTTTTCATATAAACAAAATTAAGCAATAAAAGTCAAGTCGGATTCTGGATGGGTGACAAAGCACTGTTTGTAAAACTGTCATTTCGTGGAGATCTTTGTGGGGTGATGAAGAAGCGGTCTGAAACAACCGAATAAAACATTGATTAGCAAAGTATCATTGTTTCTTTGCTTCAAGAATCAATCAAAAGCAAAGTATCATTGTTTCTTTGCTTCAAGAATCAATCAAAAGCAAAGTATCATTGTCTCTTTGCTTCAAGAATCAATCAAAATTCAAAGATTCCCATTTCTCAGCTTAAGGAACAGGAAAACTTTTAATGTCTTTAGAAGGTTTCAAGTGAGCTGTAAAAGTCACAAAAACCCAGCTTAGCGATGAGTTATTTTTTAATAGAAATATATATGGAAAAACTAATTTGGTTTAAAAAGTGGTTAAAAAGATACACTATGATTTTAAAAATCTGAAGCTTTAAGAAAAATTGTCGTCACGTAAAAGACCATTCTTCTTTGCAGTGGCCTTCCTTGCATGCCTGACAGAGTTCTGAATTGTGTTGATTTCGTGGTTTGCCTGCACGACGGTCGATCCTAAGTGGAGGCCGCACAAAGCCATAATGAAGTTGTCCAACGCGGTTGTAAACGTTACCGATGACCTGTGAAATTAAAAGACAAATGAAAATATTTATTGAAACTGTTTAGAAAATCGAATTTCTCTGTAGAGTTTCTAATAAAATTATTTTTCATTTTTATCAATATTCTTCATAAAGTCTCAAGAAATCATTAAAAAGCTACTAAGTAAAAAAAAAATTCAGTTATTCGGACGGCATCAGCGAAAAGTATTTTGCTCAGTGAATAGAAATGGCCACACTGTCTATATCTACGAACGCCTTTTCTTTTATATTGAATTGGCAGCCCACCCAGCTGGTCGATCAGAAAAAGCGTTCAATTAGAATGGAGCAAAAACAGCATCATGTTTAGATCTAACAGAATCTATCTTCTTCAATTACTTTAAAGTACGTTCATTAAAAAACATTTAGAATTAATGCAGTTACTTATATAACAGAAGTAGTCTGTATTTATTCAATCGAAGTTAGACGAGAACATGAAGGGGTAAAACAGGCAACATGAAGACCCAATTCAGACCAGAATTATTTTTGAGTTTTTGAAATTAAATTTGTCAGTGTGCTACCAGGGATGTAAAAAAGGATACATTTATAAAACAATTGTTAAGTTTGATGAAAATTGATTGAAAGATCAACGAAAAATAAGAAAGAAGTCAGTAAAAATCGCCATTTTTCGCTATTTACGGGGGTTTTCACTATATGGATGAACTCAATTATCAAGTTAAATGACTGTTAAACAATCAACATATTGTTGGCTACAACTAAGTGAAGTTTGTATTAGACTGCTTGAAAGTTGAGCGAGTTTTTAGTTTAAATTTTGTGTTGAAATCGATGTTTCATTTTTCGCGGTTTTTTTTTTGCAAAACGCAGTGACGTAGAATTAAAATTGAAGTATCGTTAAGCTCGTCATGATGTAAGTAATCTACATACCGAATTTGAACGAAATCAGAGGAAAAATTTGAAATTATCGCGTTTTTACGCTAAGAACCTATCTCTCACATTGTACAATGTATTTGCCAAGTGTGGTCAAAATCGGTTGGATGGATCTCGAGTGAAAATGTACCACAGACAGACAGGCATACCCTCTGGCTCAATTTAAGTTCAACAAAAAAAAATAGAAGAGACAGGGAGCAATGTCTCAAGTATGTCCGTCTCGAGAAGTTGCCTTGGTGAGAGACAAATGTTGTTTATTTTATTCTTGGATCAGTTCCCGTCTGGAGGTAGGTTAGTGTTACTTTGGACATCTTCGCTGTTACTTTTGTGCTCACTCACGATAGACTATCAAACCAGATCTTCCATACAGATAGTGAGAGATCTGTTCCTTTTGCTAAAAATTATGTATTCAGTAGAAGTAAGTACTTTTAATAATAAAACTGTAACACTTATAATTATCTTAGCCTGAAAGATAATAATTTTCTGGCAAAACTACGACGAAGAATCACTGCTTATTCAATTTTAGTTGTAGGTAGCGTACTATGAATTTGTTGTCGTGTGAGCCTTAGCTTTAGTTTTTTTTCCAACTTGTGTTGGAAAGGTCAATATCGTCTCTTTTTTTCGGTAGGAAAAGGTTACTTGTCCTGAGATGTTGGTGTTTTTTCTTATCGTTCATATTATGTTTGGTATGTTTAGGCTAGCGTTTTTAAATTCCTATATATGTTTTGAGAGGGTTTTATTATTTGAATATTTATTGTTATTAAATTATGTTTAGCGTGGTTATATTCTCCGTGTTAAAGGGAGCTACTGTTATTCCTATTTTTCAGCTACATTACGTTAGCTTATAGGCAGCTGCCATTTCGTAGGCTTTCTTAATTTGTTCTAGAGCTGTACATGATATTTTTAAAGATTTGCACAATGTTTTCTTCTTCCTTATTCTAAACGTGACTATCCATTCTAGAATGCAGCCTGACTATATAAACCCATGTCCGGAATTCTCTAATTTCCGGTTGTGTGGCATTGGTCTCTAAATTATTTATTTATTTATATAGTTTATTTCAGTTTCCCTGCATATGAATAGCAGGCAGTTGCTTTGAAATCCTCACGTCACGATTTGATTGGGGATACTTTCTTAAAACATTGACACGTTGTTTCGTCACTTATCGGCTCATCGAACTGCCATTATATACGAATAATGTAAAAAATAATTTTAAAATTCTCTTTAAAATTCCATATTTATACTAAAGATGAGTTTTGAAGTATATTAGCAAATTTAAAGTGTAATTCGCTGGGTTTTCTAAAAATAATCGTTGCCTTTTACTTAAAAGAAAATGAAAATAACCAAGTTCAAAGGGTAAAGTAGAAACACTGCCCGAAGAAACAAATACTAACTGAACAGGAGATATTATCTAATGATTAATATCATAACACTCTTCCAATATTGTATAGTCAGCCATATCAGAATTATGTCCTTTTTGTACACCCATACAAAAAAATAATCTAACAGCAGCTAAGAGATAAAAAATTCTTTTAAAAAAGGTTTTCACTCGAAAATGGTATTAAATTTTACATTTTTAATTCTTCAGACAAATCTTTATTCAATAAAAGAAACTCTTGAGACGAACAGCAAACGAATTTCAAAATCTCGCTGAAAAATTTACAAGTAATTAAAAAATAAATATAAAAAGTAGATTTTAAATCTGTCCAATGTGAAAGAAAATAACGTATTTTATTAAATTACGCAAGCATGAATTTTCAAAAAGATCATTTTTGAGTTTTATTGAATTATTCTTGGCAAGATGCGGACTGAATTTTCCCTATATTCACACTTGATATTGCATAATTTTTTTGTTGAGATATCTTCAATAATTTTTCTTTCTAAAACAATAAAAATTTGATAAACACCGCCAAATTAAAAAAAAAGTATACATGATATATCGAAAAGGAGTGGAACATACCTCCCAAAAATATTTCCCAAATGTTTTTTTTAACGGATAAGTACTGAAAACTTCATTTGAATTCTGATAATTCCCTGATTTTTGGCAAATATTTTAAAACAGTGGCTAACGGTTTTTTGATTATTCTTTTCGGAAAAAAAGTATCCAATTTGGTGGTACCCATTTAAAATGTGTTTTCCTTTTCTGTCAGAAAGTGCGTGGTGGTATCGATTGTAAATGAGATACGTTGTTTACATTTTTGGTGTAAACTAAAAAAAAAAAAAAAAAGAAACAACCTTTTCTTAAGGGTTTCTTCATATAAAGTTGGAGCTTATGGGATACTAGGAATCCCCAAATATGAAATAAATCGAATACGTAACCATAATAGTGTCAGAAACTGAATTTTAGAAGGGAAATCGATTTACTATAAATTTCTATTGCAAACATTACTGACCCCTAAACTCTTGAAGTAACCAACAGAAACCATTTTAAGATTTTTCGGGGACATGAATTAATCCGGGGTTATTTAGCCAATAAAAAAATATTTCAGAGCCTACGTCCACTTACCTTTTCTACGTATAATATAGCATATAGTATAGTATCTAATTACATTTCGAAACATACCTTGAAAAAGGGTCTTTTTGTGAGTTTTTATTCATATAAAGTCGGATCATAAAGGGTACTTGGCAATCATAGCCTTGCAATATATCGAATAGACAACCCTCTCACTAAATCTAGGTTTGAAATATACTTAATATCGTCTAAACGTCTGTAATCATTGCTGAGCAATTTATCTTGCCACTTATTTTAATTAAAATTTAATTAAAACTTATTAATTTCAATTCTAATGAAAACTGAAATTGACGTCAAACTTTTTGTAAAAAAAATTTTTCTGAAGTTTTTACTTGATTCGATATTTAAATTAAATTGTAATTGATATTTATCTATTTTTTAAAATTATAGTTGTATATTTGAATTTATTTAATTTAATCTATAAATGTTTTGTTTAAAAATCTAGTCAATTCAGATTTAAATTTATTCGAATTTAATTTACTAGTGAGTGCGATATTGCCTTTGCTCTATTTCATGATGAAGAGTGAAGTTTAAGTTTGAATTTACATTCTGAAATAATATGTTCCTTTACCATGAATAATATTTCTCTTTGCACCAAAGGACACACATGAAGATGTACTGTTAGAGTCGCGAATTTTTTTCTCTCAATTTTACTAAACTATACAATCGAAAAAAATAATCTATACGTATGTGCATAATTCATAACTAATTGTGACTATTAGGACATATACCTGTATGGTATAAAATGAATGTATTTTCATTGAATATATATCGAAAATAGATATTTAGAAGTGAAAACTCTCATCGTAAATATATTTAGATAAGTCAATTTATTTTTCAGACCCCCTCCTCTCTTCCACCTGGTGTTTTAGAACTTCCAGTCAAAAGTATTTTTTATATGAGTAATTAAAATTGCAAAGAAGCCTGCTTAAGTAATTTACTTCTGGCGTTAATCTTGACAGCGCGTCAACTACTTATGCTCATAATTTGATCTCAATATTAGTGTTATAAAAACTCCGTGGAATTTTAACAGGTAGAGTTAGATATTATTTATAAATTGCAGCCTACAGTATCACTAACTGATCAGCCAATGAATGACTAATGTTTCCTTATAAGGAAACGGGTAATCTTACTATTGCCATTACCAAAACATCTGAACTTACACAGACTTCTTTCACTGTAGTATCATCGCATTATGAATAGACATTCGTATTACAGTTGGGTCTCAAATAGACGGGATGGTTGGAATAAAAGGAGAGCTTATAAATTTTCTAAAAATATTTAAAAAAAATAATTTTCAGTAATGAAAGGCTTTGATTGCAGCCTAAATTACGGGTGGGAGGAAATTTTCTGAATATTTAATTCAAGGTGTAGTTGGAATACGTATATCTCGGGTTGATTTTTTTCCCCAAAAAGATAATCATCCTGACCCGTCTATTTGAAACTCAAAGATAAACATGAATGGATGCTTCTATGATAGTCACAGGAGAATGAAATGAAATGATTTATTTCTGAAAATATGTCCCATTGAAATACTTACTTTGACAACTTCTTCCGGGTACCACATAGCAGGTTCGTAACATCCATTTTTACATCGCATACATTGTTGTCCGTACAGTTTGAACATGACATAGCCATAACTATTGGTAAAATTCAAATAGAACCAGAAAATTACTCGGCCTTTCATTGAAGTCCACCCATGACCGCATTGCTGAAAAATAGGATTCAAAGATAAATCTTACTTATTATAAAACGCAGATTGTGTGTGTGTCTGTGTGTGTGTGTGTGTGTGTGTTCGTTTATATATTGGATCGGATTTCCTACATTTTTCAACCGATTTCAACAAAACTTCACAGGACTGCGTAAAATTACCTTGCGGTGGTTCTGGCAGGGCCAAAATTTGGAAAAAAACAATTTTTTTTTGCACGAAATCAATTTGAAAACAAGATAAAACACGATACTGTAGCCAGAATGAAAGGGGGGAAACTCATATCAAGTTATACTTATTATAAAACCCAGGTTGTTTGTGTGTGTTCGTTTATATATGGGATCGGATTTCCTACATTTTTCAACCGGTTTCAACAAAACTTAATTTTTTTTGGCAGGTAGTGTTTCTTATGGTCTTGCACACTTTTTTCTTTATTTTTACATTCAGAATGCTTTAAAAATTCCATTTACAAGACAATTGTTTATAATAAAATTCTATTCAATGGATAGACTCATAACGATTGAAAACAAACAAACAAACAAACAAACAAACAAAAACTAATTAAGACATGCGTGTCCGTCAACCTTAAACAATAATCTTTGTCAATTTTATTTTTCAGTCTTTATGATGGTCGATACTTGATCTATCTCTTACTGTTACATCCCCGGGCAACGTCGGGCTCTACTGCTAGTAAAATAATATGCGTGTATATATACAGGGTGTCCATAAAGTTCGTGTGAACTTTAAAAAAATTATAACTTATTTGTATTTGCGATAGAAATAATCTGTAAAAAATGTTATAAAGTTTCATGTACCTAGTTTTAAGTATAGCTAAAATAACTAATGTGATTTCAGGCATTACTGTAAATCAGTTGGCAAATGTTTTCGGTGAATTGCAAAATCGTATTACCCTTTGTATTGCTAATGAGGGAGGACATGTGGAAACTTAAATAAAATTTCAATAAAACCTTAAAACATATAGATTTACTTCTTTCTAATCCTTTTTTCAAATTATTTCTATCGCAAATACAAATTAAGTTAAATTTTTTTTAAAGTGTACACGAACTTTATGGACACCCTGTATATATATATATATATATATATATATATATATATATATATATATATTATCATTATTTAAAAAAATACGATTCCTTCGCTACATAAGAGTTATCATGTTTCAAAAACAAGATCCAAAAGCCTCAATATAATTATAAAAATTAAATTGAGATAAAGTATGAAGCCTTGTTTCATCCTCAAGCGAAAATTTAGGAATTATTATTTACCTAACGTGTTCTTTCCTATTTTTCTACATATTTGCACACACACATACACACACACACACACACACGCGCATATATATATATAATACATAAAAGGTTAATGGTCAGAGTTGAATCACTTCATGAAACAGGAGTATTAAAGATGAAGATGAGGATAAGAGTTCGAATGACGTAAATAATGTAAATAAGCGTCTTTTTATGCACCATTTTTAGGTTTTTTCGAGCACAAAGGTTAAGCGTTGTCAAAAATTCTTTAACCAAATTCCGTATGTCTAAATATACTTTATATCGGAGAAATACTCTTGGAATAAGCTATGATCCATTTCTTCTCCAGCTATGGGTTAAATAGTAAGACAGACTAAACTTTCTAGTTTTGGTCAACCAGTCTTGACAACCACTACACGCGTAAAAATATAACAGTATAACATGTAGTGATTTTAACTTTAAAAATCAGGAGATCAGTTGAATCCGCTACCTTGGTTAAAAAACTTGCGGTCTCCTCAGGCGATTTTTATCAATTGACCTCCCAACGCTTTAAAAAAACAAAAAACAAAAAAAAAAACAACTAATAAAGGTTATTCTTATTTTTGGGTGTAATAGAAAAGGAGGAGGATGCGAAGAAGGAAAGTAAAGAAGAAAGAGAAGGAGAAGAAAAGCAAGGGTATTATAAATGTATGGTGTGGGGGGGTGTTAATTAAAAATATACATTTTTTCCAGCCTCATATGTATTTAAGAGGATTTTTATGCAAGGACTCAAGACTTCAGATTTCTAGTTCAAAAGATTCTTTCGATCCACACACACACACACACACACACACAGAAATCCAAAATGGCGAAACGATTAAAAATCTTTGTTTTATATATATATATATATATATATATATAATTTTTATGCTTGACACACTACAACAATGTTGTCTCGGCGGCTACGTTTTCATTTAAATGATATGTCCAATATTTCTATACATTTACAGCAACATATATGTCCACATTCGTAATTCAGAAAAATTATTGTCGAAAATACTTCTATACTTTTACATGAAAAGAATAAACACAAACTAAAACTTCTCGAAGTTATCTATATTAAAAATTAAAAGCAAACCTTAATAAAATTAATTACGAATACTCGACAAATGTTTTAAATGTGTACAATAGATAGTTTGAAATGTATCAGTTTTTTTTTACTATTTATTTCGTAAAAATTCTCCACAAACATATTTAGTTACCTCCCCTGAAACGGTGTCAGCGATTACGCACTGACTCTTTATATATATATGGTGGACACTCACGTCATATTTCGTCGTATGAGGGCGTAGTGGTTCAGTTTTAGAAATGAGCTACTATATTAAGCATATTTGATTTGAAGACTTGTGGCGAAGCAAGTGCATTTTTCAGAAGAACTAATAATAAAGAAATATAGTACAGTGTGCCACAAAGTCTCCAAACAGCTATCCTTAGGTTTGAATTCAGAGATTTTCTTGTCAACCAAAACAAGAAAGTTTAGTCTATCTTGCTATTTAACCCATAGCTGGAGAAGAAATGGATCATAGCTTATTTCAAGAGTATTTGTCCGATATAAAGTATATTTAGACTCACAGAATTCGGTTAAATAATTTTTGACAACGCTTAACCTTTGTGCTCGTAAAAAAACAAAAACAACAAAAAAACAAAAAAAAAACAAAGGAAAAAAACCCTAAAAATGGTGTATCAAAAAGACGGTCATTTACATTATTGACATCATTCGAACTGTCATCCTCATCTTCATCGCCATATTCACAACGTTTCGGCCGTTGTAAGCTCCGGTCTTATTCAGGTAAATGAAATTTCGAACTGAACTCTTTATTTCGTTCACCGGGGTAGATTGTTTAGAACACCGCTCATTTCGTAAGAACATCACTTGTTTCTTAAGTCGAACATAACTTGTTTCGTAAGAACATTACTTGTTTCGTAAGAAGACCACTTGTTTCGGAAAAACAGCCTTTGTTTCGTAAGAATATCGCTTGTTTCGTAAGAATAGCAAGTGTTTCGTAAAAAGAACTATGCTTTTTTCGTAAGAACATCGCTTGCTTCGTATGAAGTGCGTCACTTGCTTGCAATGAAAATTGCACGCGACGTTTCATCAAAACTCATTCATTTCCAAAATTTTTTTCTTTTACTTCTATTTTTTTTTTTCGAATCCCGAAAAACTCAAACCCAAGCGCTACAATCCGTGATATTGAAATCTCTTAAGATTAATACGTAAAGGATTAAATCCAGAAAATGAGTCCTGAAAATATTAAGAAAATTTGGAAAGTCAAAATGTTAGAGAAAGAAAGGAATAAATAAAAGGTTTTTGTTTTTTTGTTTTTTAGCGCCCACATCGCTACTAAAGGTGGCACAAGGCAATATCGTGCAAAAATCATCCAAGTCCCCCTCAGACCTTGACGGGCAATAAACCTAGTCCCCTCCTGAAGGAGGGGTACTTCATTTGGGGAAAAGCCCTTTGGATCTTGGGCTTCCCGGCATGTGCCAGAATTCTGAACTGATATTGGCACTGGATTTGAGTTAGGGGTTAATCTTCAAAATATAATTAATAAACGTTAAAGTTGGACGAGGTTTAATTTCCTACAATACGTATGCCATACATCCATCGATACACAGATGCTGAAATCAATGAATTATCGAAAAATAAATGTCGGATAGAACCCTTTGATAGACGCACGATAGATGTAAAAATCCGAATTAAATTAAATTCCATCAAACTCAAAAAAACCGGATATCAAGCAGATATTACATTCAGATCCTGTAATTACTTCGCGTTTCATGTGGTTGAGTTTAGCACATGGTCAATTTCACATAGGATAAGATAAATGTTTCCTTACACGCATATAGACAGACCCCATTCGACACAGCCTTTGTCTCATGCATAGGAACAAGGATAAAAATTACCGAGTTCACGCGACCAATGTTCTGTGAACGTTTGGTGCACAGTGTCGAACAATTTCACAAAATCTTACTCTACCGGAAAAAAGAAAATAAGAAATATTTTACATGTATGATAATTTTATTCATGCACTATTATACTAACAATATTCAATATTTGATAAAGACAATCAAAATTACTCGAACAGATACATAAGTTTAACCAAAATTTTAATTTGATCAGTCACTTATGTGGCATACACGCTTAGGCGATCATGTATCTTGCGATACATGACTAACGGGGCAGACTTATTTTTGCTAATTTCTTTCTGCGGTAGACCAGTTGCCATCCTATATTTACCCATAGCTGGGGGAGAAGAAGAGGATTCATAACACGTAAGTGAATGTAACGAATTCGACTAGAATTCGAACTCGGCTCTTCGTTTCCTCAATCCGAGCCGTTATCCATTACCCCACCAAAAAATGAACAATTATGTCAGTTGCATAAAAAAAAACAATTGAACAAATATGTCAGCTGAATAAAAACAAAAAAATTCGGCAATGTTTAAGCCATGCTTCTTAAGTATGTGATCGACCTGAACAACACAACACGTGATCTACTAATTGAGACAATTGTCTACATTAAAATATACATTAAAAATAGATAGATACAAAATAAGACATAGAAAAGAAGTAATCTTTATTTAATTTACTATAAATAAATATTACTATATGAAAAAAAAATATAAAGAAAATTATTATTTTACCTAATACTATCACTGCTTGAATAAATTTTGCGCATTGGATCGTATTCCAGTAAATAAATTCTAAGATATTTTAGAAGAATCATGCACGTAGATCACATACTTCAGTAGCATCGTTTAATCTTTGTGCTTGCAAAAGAACAGTGTGTCAAAAGGACGGTTACTATCATGACACCGCTATTACTGTATACACTTTTGACTCCCTCCGCAATGTTTATTTACACGATATGAGAACGAAGTACAATGCGATATTTATTATTTAACTTTTATAAAGGTTTACTCACCATTTTATAAAGAAAAATATTTGAAAAGAAATGTTTTTATTCAAACATTTATAAAAAATCACGAAATTATCAAAATATGTAAGACAAAGAGAATACCCCAGCCTGTTTAAATTGAATTTATATGGTGAAAACAAATGAAAGAAATGCCTGGAAAATACCTTTTTTTTCAAAATTTATAAACTCGTCGTTATGCGTTTATTTAAATTTTCTTGTTCAGACATTTTTATAAATTTATGAATAAAAAAATTTTCTTAATATTTTCAGGACTCATTTTCTGGATTTAATCCTTTACGTATTAATCTTAAGAGATTTCAATATCAAGGATTGTAGCGTTTGGGTTTGAGTCCTTCGGGATTCGAATTGCTCTCTCGTCAGCTGTTTATAATTGTCGGGCAAAAAGAGAAAAATACGCCTCATTGAATGAGTAGCATCCTTTTTACAGAAAACAAAAAAATAGAAGTAAAAGAAAAAAAATTGGAAATGAATGAGTCTTGATGAAACGTCGCGTGCAATTTTCATTTCCAACAAGTGATGCTCTTCATACGAAGCAAGCGATGTTCTTACGAAAAAAGCGTAGTTCTTTTTACGAAACACTTGCTGTTCTTACGAAACAAGCGATATTCTTACGAAACAAAGGCTGTTTTTCCGAAACAAGTGGTCTTCTTACGAAACAAGTTATGTTCGACTTAAGAAACAAGTGATGTTCTTACGAAATGAGCGGTGTTCGTAGGAAACAAGTGATGTTCTTCTTACGAAAAAAGTGATGTTCATATGATCAAGTGATGTTCTTACGAAACAAGCGATTTTCTTACGAAACAAGCGATGTTATTCTTACGAAGCAAGTGATTTTTTACGAAACAACCACAAAAATTACAGCAAAAAGCAACGAAACAAATCGACCAATCAGCATTGATAATGAGAAAAATTCTAGTCAAAATATCGCCCCTTTTTTTTTTACTCGATGAAAACTTGTCAAGAATTATTAATTTTCGTCTAGTATTTCTTTAATCTTAATTTCACTATTTTTTTTCGAAACTACTCAGCTCCCGAGATTTTATTCTCTGTGGCACCCAATGAGGATTGAACTCATTATTCAGTAGTAATTGATTTAGCTAGACAAGCTTGCCAACCATTGCACCATGTCGAGGTGCCCTAAATGATTTTCTAAGCATAGATTAGATGTGGCACAAGGCCGAAAGTATGGAGCGCCCAGTGTGGATCGAATTCATTATCCAGTCGTAATTGATTTAGTGAGACAAGCTTGTTAACCATTACACCATGTCGATGTGCTCTAAATTATTTTCTACTATCAGTCAAAATTGAAACATGATGAGAAAAATGATAAAAATCATTATTTTCGGACCCGGTTTCTTCTTCTTCTTCTTCTAATAATAATAATAATAATAATAATAATTATTATTGTTATTATTATTTCCTTGGGTCTTACACGTTTACTTCTGGGTCCCAACTAGAGTCCTATGATCAGAAATGTCTTCATGACATTTTCTACTGATCATATTTTTACACAAATAAAGCTTTTCATAATGTGTGAGTTGTACGTGTGACGACAATTTTTGTATTTCTTTAAGGCATGGAATCCCTTCAATGTGTCCAATCAATCCGAAAGCTCCAACTACAACTGGAATTATTGATGTCCTCATGTGTAACATTTTTGAGACTTCCATTTCAAGATCCTTGCATTCTAATATTTTTTTTTGAAAATTTTTAAAGATACATTATAAACTGCAGGGCTTACCATCTCAATAAGAAAGCACATTCTATTCTTGTGGTCTTTGATCATGATGTCTGGGTGATTAGCATCGATTGTTATTATCATTATTAGTTGTATTTCTTTTACAAATGTCGGCCCTATATATATATATATATATATATATATATATATATATATATATATATATATATATATATATATTAGATTATAATCTTAAATTGTTACAGTCGTTGATTGCTACTTACCTGACAAGAGAATCTGACTTTGGCGCTGTCTTTGAATGTTCTCCATCGATTAATCGGAGGGTAATTAGTTGGAAGCAGGTACCAATGGTCTGGAAAATACTGACTGAAGAGCCGTTCAAATTCGCCATGCCAAACCATTTCCATACTGTTTAATGAAAAACAAAAAAGACAATTATGTTTGGTTGATGAAAATGTTTCAGTTTTTTCTCATATAAATTTATTTCTACCGTTTACGTCAGGATTCTCCTAAGCTGTGTATTCTATCAGGAAAGACTGCTTCCAGTTTTGATTTAATGGCTTCTTCAAGGAATTCTTCGATGTCATCAATCAGCTGGAAATATGGCGCGGAACGAATACTAGTCAGAAACTTACTAATTTATAGGACGAATCCTCCAGTCTGTTCTTCTCATTTTCTCTATTATTCTATCAAAGAGAGAACGCTTAATGGATTCTTGAAAGAAATTCTTGAAGGAATTCGATGTCATCAGTTGGACACATGGTGCGAAACGAATGATAGTCGGAAACTTACTAGAAAATGCCGCGTGAGGAAGAACCTTCCACCCTCATTTTCTGTACGGTCGATTTCTGTGTCCAGAGAAATGTCTTTTGTGAACCAATACGTCATTCGTTGTATTGTTGTGTAACATTTTGTTCACTTCTAGCATTGATTTTGTTTTCTTTGTTTTCTATTTACAGCTTATCACCTACTATGTGGCTCATTTAAAGCCGAAACATAATTCAGATCCTGATTCCAGCAATTCGTTATAATTCCATTTGAGTCCCAACAAAAACAGAAAAGATTAAGAATTATGTTTTTTTTTTTACTTTTATATTAATAGAAAGAAACAAAGGTTTTAATGTCGACCAATTTTGTTCATATTGTTCTTCACCAGAAACAAAGCCCAAGAGCCACTCAAGGTAGAATGTTACTCAATTAAGTTGTTGTAAATGTGTACGATTGAGTATATATTATGCCTTTAAATTCCTTGAGGAACATAGGTCCGCAAGATATCATTGCGGTTTCTATAACAAGATTACAAAAATCCCCAATCTGGAGGATCAGGTTTTGAATTCAGAGTTGTCTTTTCTCCTAGACCAGTTGCCAGTCAAGGCGATAGAAACCAGTCTGTCCTGCTATTTACCCATAGCTGGGGGAGAAGAAGAGGATTTATAACTTTCAAGGGTATTAGCACATAAGAGAATGCAATGTACTCGACTAGAATTCGAACTCGGCTCTACGATTCCTCAATCCGAGCCGCTATCCATTAATCCACTGTGCCAAGGAGGGAGTACATATTATGAGGATAGATAACGGTTGATCGTAGAGTAGAAGAAGTTAATAATCGAGGTTAGTAATCGAGGAAACATCGTTTCGGAATTTTTTCGTCATTAGTGTGAATGATGCTGCCTTGGTGAAAATTCCTCCTTACAAATTGAATACCAAAGGAATAAAGATGAGTAGACGGGATGTTAGCTCCTAGTTGTGAAGGTCTGAACTGGTGGAACGAAGGAATATAGGTTGACTGAACATCTGCCATTAGAATAGTGATAGTGTAGCAATAGGCTGCGAAGTTTCGAGATGTGGAGAAAGGGGTTGTAGGGTGGGAAATTATTAAGCACCTATTAGGTCCGTAAACGATTCTTATGGTTGTATTCATCTAGTTAAACAAAGAGTCCGCCTAGAAGATTTGCAGGAGATTCCTAAGTCGTCTGGAGATCATAGTTTTTAATATTTCAAGATATTTTTGTGTAATATAGTTAAATATATGTCTATATTTCTGAGATGAGGTATTATGTACATTATTTATATTATTAGGACTATTATCCTCATCTTTGTCGCCATATTTATTACAACGTTTCGGCCTTTGTACGCTCCGGCCTCAAGGACACATGTCACAGTCAATATTTAAGTAACTGCTCTGTTTTATAATAAACAGTATTTATAACATTTACCGCCCTAAATGTCGGAGGACGAATATTTTCTATGAAAATTTCTCAGACATTCAGGCCGGTAAATGTTATTAATACTATTTATTATAAAACAAACAGATACTTAAATATTTGTATCTATAAAAAGAATGTATAAACATAAAAATGTCTTATATATATATATATATATATATATATATATATATATATATATATATATATATATATAAGTGTGTGTGTGTGTGTGTGTGTGTGTGAATTTTCAGTTGATTCATTTTGCCAAACAAGCAGGAAAATAGAAAATTTTAAAATGAATCTTTTGAAAGACAGCGTTGCCTAAAATGGAACAGAAGAAAAATGGCGTCAGACTGAAAAGTACGTTTAAAACTGTCAGTAAAGTGTCCTTTTCATTAAACTTTCATTTTGAAAAGCATTCACCATGAGTCGGTAATAAAAATGCAAGTTGAAACTTGTATTCACTTAAATACAAATGCATATATATATATATATATATATATATATATATATATATATATATATATATATATATATATATATATATATATATATATATATAAAATGCAGTTTATACACATTTTCGATTCAGTAACTCGGTAAGAGGCACGGTGGAATAATAAAAGGCAGCGGTTCGGATTGAGGAATCGGAGTGCCGAGTTCGAATTCCAGTCGAATCCATTACATTTATTTTACGTGTTAATACCTCTGGGAAAGGTATGAATCCTCTGCTTTTCCCTCCAGTTATGGTTAAATAGCAAGGCAGACCGGGTTCTATAGCCTTGGATGGCAATTGTTCTACTACAGAAAGAAATGGCAACCTACTGCGGGAAAAAATCTGCCTCGTCAGTTCTGTATCGAAAGATACATGGTCGCCTAAGCGTGTATCACGCATGGCACATAACTGACTGACTGAAGTTGGTTTCTCTTTTAATTACAACGACATTCTTTAAATCGAAATTATGGACAGATTCATTATGATGAATGACTAATGAATTGAGTGTTTTGTAAAAGAGTTCTTCTGGCCTTATATAATCTTATATTGAAATTCCTAGAACTCTTTCTTTCTATTTCTGTAACGTTTATCTTATTGTTTTAGAAGTATTTGTAACTAAATTCATATTAAGTTTAGATAAATACTTCTCAGTTGTTTTGAGGCTTGAGTTGATAAGTCGTATTATGTTCTTAGTTTTATCAAGATTATATTGTTTTCATTTTTAATCTATGAATTTAGTAAGCTTTACGATGAGCATTAAATATGAAAGCATTAAGATATCGGAGGACTTTCAAAGTATTTTCAATAGATTTCGCTTCATCCTGTAAATATTGAGGGTTACAAATTCTGAGTGCTCTTAAAAGGAAATCATTAATTATTCTGGATTTTATTTTGATTTCGTCATGTGAATTGAAATTTTCAAAGTAAAAGTATTTTATGATCACTTGAAATAAATTTAAAGCCACATTGCCGTTACAGCCATGAGCACAAATCATTATGAAGAACGTACGATTATCCAATTTGACTCAAGTAACTAAAATGTACAAAAGGAACTGACTGAATGATAAGGTTGGGCGAAGTAACTATGTTTTTTATGGAGGAGACAAATACATTCATACTAATTTAAAAGCCGCCTATTGGGCGGCATTTAAGTTAGCTCCTGCGTTGGGCTCTTAATTGGGGCTTCATCACAATAGGGGGAAGGAGTAGATGTGATAGGTAACAATAAACTACAGAAGAATTCAATTGATCGCGGTATTTAAGTATTGCATTAATATTTATCTTTTAAAAGTTCAACGATAATTCTTCTGCCGCCACTTAATTCAAAGACAATGTGATGTACATAGGTCCTTACAAACCATTATTATTGGATGACTTTAGCTGGATTTCGAAATTAATTTCGATTATTCACAAATTTATTTCCAAGTTATAAAAATTATTATCGTACAAAAAATTCATCGCAAAAAAAAATACGTAAAAAATCGCCGAAAATATTCGCAGTAATGAAAACATTAGAAACTTTGGGAATCCAAAATTTCAGGCTTTCGGGTCTGGATCTCACCCGGTATATTTTTAATTTGCTCACGGGCCTGATTCCAAAATGGTATATGTTGGGTTAATGCCTCTTGGAGTAAATTTGGAAAAAACTGTGACACAGTGACACAGTGACATTTGCATTTATTATATAGAAGAGATTTTTCGACTTGAAGACACACTCCAAATCATTGTGATTTATAATCTTCAGTAACTTTTTAAATCATCTGCAAAACTCCCCCTCCTGTGTACACTCATGAAAGCGATGCAAGTCTTCCAAGATCTTCAAAAGTGTTTTAACGGATAACGAAGGAATTTTATTGATAACGCTTTTAATATCGTTGTTCTATGTGTATACTATGGTTGTCCGTCCAATTGTCTATAGATGTTATTCTTCCTTTTGGTATTGACCGGCAAAACCATTTCCATGTCATCGTTTATTCAGTCAGCGCATTTTGCGCCGCTGTGGTCACCACAGTCAAAAAAGTGCAATAGATTGCTGGTTCCTTTTGCACCAGGAATTTTGAGGTTACCCTGTCCCTCCTCTCGAAATTTTCCCTGCCCACTGGTAAAGCCGTTGACCTCTGAGGCGCAGCTCCTAATCCCAGGCTGGCGACTGGCCGATGCCGTTGGCCAGAGTGTGGCCGATGCCGTTGGTCAGTGTGTGGCCGATGCCGTTGGCCAGAGTGTGGCCGATGCAGTGTCCATGCGACTTCTTGGAGCGATGTGCGAGAGTTGGATGCAGGCCGTGGACCTATACATTTCTGCATCCCAATTCACTTGAGTAAAGCAGTGTTGACCACTTCGCTACAAAGGTACTACCATTAACATTACACCCTCATTTCCATAAAAGTTACTATTTCTAAAGTTATTAACTTGTGCTGTCTAAACATGATATTAAGTTCTTCTTTGATTTGGGTTTCTTGGAGACAACATACATCAATGTCATAACTATCAAGGTTCCGAGCCAATGACACCTGCTTTTCTTTTTTTCTCACGGTTCTTTCAAGATTAAAATTCCCGATGTACATATAGATCGGGTGTAACAACAAAATTGGCCGAATCGTGTAACAGCAAAATTGTCCAGTTGTTAGATTAAGCTTTGAATCGTTGTAGCTTAGAAATGATTAAAGATATTTTACTGGAATACTTCATAGGCAGGTATTTACAGGTTTTAAATAAGAAGCTATCAACATTCAACGTTTGACAATCAGAGAAATCATATCTTCTCCGACAGAAAATTACTTCCTGCGTTAATATGGATGTGCTGTAACTAAAGTTGCGATGGACGTGACAGGACATGATTTGTGTTTTATTTATTAATTTCATGAAGTTAGTCGTAAAAGCATTTTCAGGAGAACTACAATAGTGGTTTTGCTGCCATAAAATCCTGGAATTGAGGTCAGCTGGTCTCAAATTTTTTTCCAACGATTGTTAGAATTTTAATTTCAAATAAAAGCAAGTGAAAACTATGAGTGGCCTACTTGACGAGTGTTTGTGTGTGTGTTTGTATTTGGGTGTGTGTGTTTGTGTGTTTGACGGAAGAGAGGATAACTAGGAATGGTAAACGGGAAACACTGAATTGAGGCACAGTGGAGTAATGGATAGCGGCTTAGATTGAGAAATCGGAGAGCCGAGTTCGAATTCCAGTCGGATCCATTACATTCACTTACGTGCTAATACCCATGGGAAAGGTATGAATCCTCTTCTTCTCCTCCTAGCAACCTGTCTAAGAGAAGGAAAAACCCTAAATTCAAAACAGGCCTGGTTGGGTTCCGTCAGGCTATCTTGCCGAAGAAACACCACTGCAGGATAAAAAAAAAAAAAAAAAAAAAAAAACAAACTTAGTTAGTGTGGATCGAACCTATGATAATATTCTACCAGATTAGTTGTTGTTTACTTCTTCACTAAGAAGCATCCACAGTATTGATTAAATACAGCCTGACATGACATGAAGACATAATAGAAGGAAATCTGGTGAGAATCGAATCTGACACACTAGAAGGAATTAACTATTCTATTAAGGTAGTCGATGTATTTTTGTTTATTTAGACTACCTATATTTCACTTGAGGCAATAATTCTATTTACTAACAGGCAACAATTTAATATCTTGTCAATTGATTTATTTGCCTGGGACAATTAAAAGATTATTACACCACTTTTATTATTAAACCACTTTTATTGCTCGTAAAACTCCTCGATGTGTTGATGCTTGAGTTTTGAATGCTCAGTCGCTCTTACCTAAGTAACTTAATTAGTCTCTCTTTCTTGTTAAGAGATGATATCAAAACAATGTTGAATTCTTATCCTGTCTTGCAATAAAATATTACAGAATGGCCTATTTGACGTATTAACAATTTCCTCAAGCTAAAAAACATTTTTGACGTGAGAAAGATTTCGTATCGAGATTATTAAGCGCTCTATTTGGTAAACGTTTCAATTGCTGTTATAGCAGAACAAGGACTAGGTCGGATAGTAAAGGGTCAAAGATTTGTTAGAGATAGAAAGGATAGGATGTTGTGGAGAGCCATGATGCCCACGTTCAGAGAGATTAGGTGCATAAAAGAAAATCGTTGCTACTCAATCTTACCCGTGGAAAAATTCCCAGATATATTTCAATTTTAAATAAAAACAATCAAAGAAAACATTTACATATATTAAGATCAAAGTGTAGAAGCTGTTTTCTACGATCTGAACTCGGTGTCCCTTAATTGTTGTGACATTTTCTTACACATTTCATAAGCCAATTGTTCTGATGAGCTTTCCACTTTGGTACTTTGACTTTATGAATTTAAGCGCAGTACTAGATTGGCGGAAAGGTTTCATTATTTTACAGTTGAAATTATTAGATATAAACGTAAGAGGACTTAGAGAATTAAACACTAACAGGACAAGGCAAAGAACTGCAAAGGATAGGAAGTTGTGGAGAGTCATGATCGCCCACATTCTGAAGGAACACGACACGTAGAACAAGAATATCACTAATATTGAATACTCTTCAACTATTAGTATAGTAAATTGTATACACATATATATATATATATATGTGTGTGTGTGTGTGTGTGTGAGTGTGTGTGTGCGTGTGTATTTAGGCAGCAATCCTTCTTTCATGCACATTTCATTAAATACGACAGACAAGATGCTTTTATTTAGTTTTTAATACAATTTCTCAAGCGATCTAATATTTTTTAATTTTCAGATGATAAATTATAAAAAATCTGACCGAATGTTCTTTTTATCCGAGCGCTTTCGGCTATACATTTAGCCATTTTCAAGGATTAAATATTTTGACTGTTGAATAAGAAATAGTTTGTTGCATGTATGTTTTATAAAATGTTTTCATTTTTCAAAACACGGTGAAGATATTGTGTCCATGTTCATAGTTAATATTATTAAGTGTTAATTTTTTTTGTTTTTATTAATAAGGTAGGTGTCCAGGAATATTTAAATGAGATCTAATTGAGCTATGGTCAAAAAAAGACCTTGTCTGTCGTATTCAATTATATGTGCATATATATATATATATATATATATATATATATATATATTGTGTGTGTGTGTGTGTGTGTGTGTTCCTGACAAATTTATTTCGGTTGATCTCTCTGGAGAGGAAGTGTGGGTTTGTAAACAGTGACTATTACGGCTAATAATGCAAGACTCTTCGGTAAATCGAATCGAGTTCTGCCAGTCACTGTGTGTTTATCCAAAAATAAATACGCTTAAATTCACCTTCGTCCCTGTCGTGCGCCAACGACTTAGTGGTAGAATCCCCGATTGACGCCAATTCAGTCAGGTTTCGATTCTATCTAGAGGCAACCGGACGTCTAGCCACATTGATGAGCCATGATACAGCGAAACAGTCTGTCTGTAGATGACAGTATATATATATATATATATATATATATATATATATATATATATATATATATATATATATATATATATATATTGTTGTTACCATTTTATGCACATACTGGAAATAAGTACTACTATCATTTTCACTATCAGTACTGCAATCACTTCATAAACATCTCCACTACCATTAGTACTGCTTTTAAACATTGTTTTATTATTACTGTTATTATGATTATCACCATCAATATTATCATCATCATCATCATGGTTACCGCAGCTTTTATCATAATTAAATTGTCATTACTACTACCTTTTTATTAAACTTTCATTTCCGTCATCATTAAGGCTAAATTTGCCGTTAACTCATCACTAATTATTATTTACATATTAATAAGAATTAATACCACACTTATTATCACTATCAACATAATCACAATCGTCAATAATACACAAACAGTTAGCATAAAATAGAAACATCATCATCACCATGCCCACAAATAGAACCCAAAGACCCCGACCAATATGTGTGTATGTGCCCGTCTGCATATGTGTATGTGTGTGAGGAAGTGTAAGTTTAACGACTTAGCCGATAGATATGAGAAGCGTCAAGAACACCCTTACCCGCCTCTTGTTGAAAGGAACATCGCTACACATAAAAAGCCACGGACCCGACCCAGAAATAGAATTAAAATTGCGTATGTATGTATGTATGCCCGAGTACATGGATGTATATCCGCGCCACGGGTTGTTTATATGAGTGTGCCTGTGTGAACTAAAATGCATACGCATGTATGTGTGTGTGTGTGTGTGTGTCTGTGCATGTGAGAGTGTCATCCCGAACAGGCACGTAGGGAAAATCCCCCTCCCACCGCCAAACATAATCAAACAAGCATAAATAGATCCAATTTTAAAAATAAAGCAGTTTGTCTGATCATCGTAAAAGCGTGAAACACCGGGGCACAAACTCATATCCATACAACTTATTATGTTAGTACTATCACTGATATTGAACAAGTACTGGACTTATATATATATATATATATATATATATATATATATATATATATATATATATATATATATATATATATATATATATATATATATATATATATATATATATATATATATATATATATATATATTGTGTGTAGTGTATCTCGAGGTGGTGTAATAGTTAGCAAGCTTGAATCGCTAGAACAGTTACGACTGAGTAGTGAGTTCGATCCTCACAAGGTGCCCCCTTCTTTCGGCCTTGTGCCACATCTGAGCTAGGCTTGGAAAATCACTATATATATCTGGGTGTAACAGCAAAATTGTCCAAAACGTGGAGGGGTGCATGTGATAACTGTCCATCCAACAAAATATTTAATATCTAAAAAACATTAAAGGAAATGAGTTTCTTTTTTTTCTCCAGGTTATCAGATAATTCGTTTAACCATCTTGACATCATTTGTTGTAAGAATCAATGAAAAACTCTTTGATTTATTCGGCTAGAAAGAGAACAGGTTAAAATCGTTTTCATGTCGGCCCCAATATGTTTTCCCAAATGAGCAATGCTGAGAGGAAAAAAGATCATTCAGATCTTCAGTAATGATACCAACATTCATACTCTGACTTCAATGTCCATTTAAGAACCATCAAGAGAACAGTGAATAAGTTTAAAAAAGAGGGAACAGTAGAGAGGAAAGCTGGATCAGGAGGTCACAACAGGAAGAGGGATCATCATTTCACCTTAGAACAAAATACATTCTTTTTGTTCAAAGTAGAGTCTAATAGTGTTATAAAAACCTCGGAGAATTCCGGTAAGATATCTTTAATCATTTCTAAGCTACAACAGTTCAAAGCTTAATTTAACAATTGGACAATTTTGCTGTTACACGATTTGGCCAATTTTCCTGCTACACCCGATCTATCTATCTATCTATCTATCTATCTATCTATCTATCTATATTAGTGAATATATATAATATCCAATATCAATAACACAACTCAGAGTTTCATGCAGTTAATGCAATCTTTTCGTTCGGAGATTCTGACCGTTATCATATATGTAGCTCGTGGTCATATCACTTTGAAACATCGATTCTCGTCCAGTCATCGAGGATAAGCAACGTGGAGCCTGGTAAGTACCCAGATGGATGACCGCTTGGGAATAACAGGTGCTGTCAGCTTGGTTGTGCGGATTGTTATGGATAACGGCCTGACTGAGAAATCGTAGAGCCGAGTTCGAATTCTTGTCGAGTTCGTTACATTCTCATTCACACAAAAACCCTGGGAAAAGTATGAATTCACGTCTACTCTCCCCAACTTTCTGGTAAACAGCAAGCAAGAAGAATTCCTTGGTTGGCAACCAGTTTAAGAAAAGGAAAACTTTGAATTCGACCCAGTATAGGAGCTAACAGCCAACATACAGATAACTCCGATTCAAAAACCTTACGATCTTACCCAGTACATCAATGCAGGGCATGATGGTGATTTGATGAAGAGAGAAAGCATTTCAGCGCACATGACCACTTTAAACGATTCCCTTTTGCAGGCTGTTCAGTAAAGATTTACTGAATCCTGATCCGTCGTTATATATATATATATATATATATATATATATATATATATATATATATTATGAAATGGACAAAGTTCGGCAATTATTTTAAGACATTTTTTATGTTTATACGTTCTTTTTATAGATACAAATATTTAGGTAAATGCTGTTTATAATAAATAGATGCCTATTAATCACTCGATGAATGTTATGCACCTTGTTTTTTTTTTTTAAATTATAAGCTGTATAAGGTCTTTCTTAAATACGCAAGTACTTTCGACTGTACATTCAGTCATCTTCGGGCATGGAAATTATTTTGTTTTTGGTAAAATTCAGGTAGCATCAGAGACGAAAAAATAAATGCGAATCGGAATATGTTTTTTTTTTTTTAAATGTGTTATTGATAACGGCTAAAAACTTTTGGAGCGTTCAGTCACAACGTTAAGGTTGAATTTTATATATGCTGGACTCTCCCGTCTTATTCGACGTGTGAGGGTAAAGCAACTCAGTCACTAGGAACCGACAGTCAGACACCTGCACATATGATTTGATTATAGTGGTGAAGACTTTTTGACGACCCGAATACAGAGACCTAACAATTTGACGATTTTGCTGTTACACTACTCTGCTATTCAATCTCTACAGGTTGAATACCAGAGTAGATTGGTCTGTTTAGCCTTGGTTGGCAACCAGTCTATCAGATGTAAGAGGTGATGTGGTCGCAGAAATTGTCTGAAAGCCATGATTGGGTTTTCCTGCTTGTGTGGTATGTTGCAGAGTTCTGTTATCAGACATAGTGTCTTCCAGTAGTCACCCTCTTGACCCAATGAAGCATTACCTCCTCAAAGTAATTGATGTAGGCCTCCGTGTCGAGTCTAAGGCTCTGTGGGAAGTTGAATGTTGGCATAAGGTCACCATCACCTTCGTAATCGCCATTAGATTCATGATCTCTGTTTGACACCCATTAACTCTGAAGGGTTAGTATTGGAGCTTCCGGCGCGAATGCCAAGCAGTACAGCATGCCGTTTCCAAATTTTTGGCGGAGTGAATTGCATCATTGTGCTCTTTTTCTCGTAGACGGTGACCAACAGACTTTACTATACTGTGCAGTCAGCAAAATTAAGAACAATGCACATGCGCAAAATCAAAACTATAAAATGGCGTAAAAAATAAAAATATTATGTATTATATATATATATATATATGTGTGTGTGTGGGGGGTGTTATTTGTATATTGCTTTTCTGATCTTTATAAAAACACTCTATTTTATATACTTTTAAAATACATATAAAAATGAAGTTTTTTCTTATTTATCCATTAACAGTCTGTTTCGCACAGTGCGATTTTCAAAATGGGCGCTTTTGCACTTGAGGTCTTTCACATTTTTCAAAAGGAATTGTTATCGGCCTTAAAAAAGGTATCAGCGATCCGAATTCATTACATTCACTTTCGCACTTGAAAAAAGTAAGAAACCACATATTTTCCCCCTGCTACGGGTTGAGTAGCAGAGTAAATTGGTCTGTTTAGTCTTGGTTGGTAACCAGTCTATCAGAAGGAAAACTCTGAAATCAAAACTAGAGTGTTTGGAGATTCTGTGGCACACCATGCACTATTTCTCTATTATTAATTATTGCGAAAAATATGGCTAGATCTACATAAGTCACACCCACTATAATCAAGTTATATGTGTGGGTCTAGCAGTACTTTCCTGCACTTATATATATATATATATATATATATATATATATATACACTAGAGTTCAAAAGTCTGAAGGAAGGTAAATTTTTAAATGGGCCCCAAAAGTAGTTGTTTTGTACTTTAAATAAGAAAAAATTGTTATACATGGTTAAAAAATATGAGATGTTTTTTTTTTATTATGACAAAAATAAACAAAAGCATTTTATGATTAAATTTTACTCTCATCAAAATATCCTCCTTTAGCCTTGATTACTGCAGCACAAACCTTTGGCATTTGTTGCAAAAGTTTCTCAAATGAAAGACTCTAAGAGTTCTTTTTCATTCTTTTTCACTCTTCTGTCAAGTTCATCCCACGCTAATTCTGGAGGTGGCTTCAAACGTTTGAACTGTGATATATATATATATATATATATATATATATATATATATATATATATATATATATATATATATAGCTGTAAGGAAGAGACAATCCTATAGTATTCTGATACCACAGATACAACAGACTGGGATAGGCAAATTTCATCAGGATTTTTATTTTTAGACAAATGAAAAAGTATTTTTAGAATCAAACGTTGCTATTTATAAGTAAGTGTCATTCAAAAGAAAATTGATAAATTGTGTCGACGTGTCAGAGTAATTTCAGTAGACATTTACATAGTTAGGATTAAATGTTTTTCTTTATATATAAGATGTATTTTAGCCGCAGTCTTTTATCGATACAAGTTTAATGAAAAACAAATGTAAAGGATTGTATTTTTTTTTTACTTGACTTTTCTTACAGTGATGGTTTTAATGAATGTAGATATTGTAGTCATGTTTGTGATCGAGCTCTTTCGGCCATATTTTTTATCATTTTAAAGACACCAACTTATGTAGACGTGTCGTTTGTATTAGGTTAAGTACTTTCAAACCTCAGTGGAAAAAATAATGTAAAAATAAAAATAATAAAAGTAAAAAAAGTCTCCAAATTAAACCGTATTTGTTTTTTTTTAATCCATTATCTAATCTACATGTACCCATTTTTAATCCCACATTTAAGACCCCCCATATATAATATTTAACTCAAATATTATTTTATACACAAACTGGCATGTAAACAAGAAAATATTTCTTAAAACGTAAAAAGTTCAAAATATAATAAATTTTAGAGCTGAATTCCTAAATAAGGCAGAGTAATTTAGTTGGTTTCTTTTGTTTTGTTTTACGGCATATATACCTTAATGGGTTATTTAATATTGACAAGATTTTTATTGCTGGTAATATTTTTTCCTTCAAAAAGGTATTGCTGATACTATTTTTTTCATCAAAAATGTATTGCTGGTAACATTTATTTTCTTAAAAAAATTTATTGCTTGTAATAATATATTGCTGGTAATAATTTTTCTTCCAAAAATTTATTGATGTATTTAAACCTGTTTTTACACTTTCATAGTGTTTTGATCCCAGGTTGGGAGCTAACGATTTGCCTATAGCTGTACCCTAACAGGTGCTATCACCTCGGGTCAGGGTGGACATGGGAACACCAGCAATTAAGAGGTGGTTCCATGCTCCTCAAAACCACCTGATCAGACGCTTTGCTGTTGGACGTAGTTTATCGTCTTACCCAGGACACGAGTAATTTAAGATCGTATTAAAAGCAGCAAGTGTATTTTTGTCTTCCGACACTTCAGGCTTCGGGTGCTTATTTTCTATATACAGACATTGATTAATTGAAAAATACAAGACAGGAAATTTTAATCAAAAAATATCAAAATTCGTGTTTTAATTATATTTTTTTACTTTTTTACCAGAAATACAGGGGGTTTCCAAAAATTTGACATCATTTCGCAAGCCAATAATTATGGCAATTCTTTTAGAAATAACCTTAAATTTTCACAGAATGTATAGAAACAGATCAAGATTTTATATTTAATGTTTTATTTTTGTTCTGTTTTCAGGTTGAGCCATGCCGTTTACTCACAAAGAGAAGTCATTTTGCATCTTGGAATATACTCGCAAACAGTCACCCAAAACTGTGCAGCGTACCTTCAATTCAAAATTTGAAAAAACTTCACCAACTGGCAAACAAATTTGCACTTGGTACCAATAATTTAAAGGGGAAGGCTGCTCATGCAGGGATAAAGGATCTGGAAGACCACCATCAACATCATCGTGTTTGGCAAGATCTTAACTACCTAATTGACGTGTGCCGTGTCACAGGTGGTGCATATATTGAACAATTATGAAATCGGGACCACAATAAACTTATGATGTCCAACACCTAAACTCTTCAATTTCATTGAGCTAAACGTAGTAGTTTTCAAGATAATTGCTTTTAAATTTTGGGGGACATCCTGTATTTCCTTCGTGCGTGTAGAGGTGACTAATACACAGCGAATGAATGATGGAACAGAAATATAAAGAAAGCTAATCCACGGATTTCTTTGGTGACGAAGAAAAGAGTACTGAGCTGCTACGTGACATCTGTCCTCCTTTACGGCAACGAATGCTGGACGGTCTCCTCAAAGGTGAAGAAAAGACTGGAGACAACGGAGGTATGGTTCTACAGAAGGATGCTAAGAATATCATGGACCGAGTGCGTGAGCAACGATGAGGTCTTGGAAAGGATGCAAACAAGGAAGACTCTTATATTTAACATCAGGAAGAGGCAGCTGAAGATCCTGGGACACATAATGAGGAAAAGGGAATTGGAGAATCTGATACTCACAGATCGAATAGTGGTAAAGAGAGACAAGGGAAAACAACGCATGACATACCTGGTGGGTTTAAGCAAGTGGATTACAGAACGTGATCAAAGGGAGATAGCAGAGGGAAGGAACTTGTTGAGAGCTACAAGGGATAAGAGGAAGTGGAGAGCCATGATCGCCTACGTCCTGAAATGACACAGCACATAAAAAGAAAGAAAAATACTGCAATTAATCATG